AGTTTTCATAAGTAGACTCCACTCGTGGTACCCCGCCCAATTCATAACCACTATGTGTGCGGCCCCTGGCTAATACCTTTGCCTGTGAACTGCTCTCAGTGAAAAGACTCCCCATAACCTTAGTAGCGCTGGGCGGGCGAAACCTGATCATTATCTATGCTAGTCTCTGTTCCTGTCCTCCTTAGGGAGGATGCTCCCCCTAATGATCCCTTTTGGCAGGACCCTTTACAGCAGCCCTTTGAATGAGAAAGTCAGGGGCAGGATTAGTCCCATTTGGTGGCAAGGAAAACTGAGAAGAGACTCCTGGAAGGAGGCAGAATGGTCCAGGCGTGACCTCAGGTCAGCAGGCTTCAAAGTGGGGCTGTTTTCCAATGCTGGTGCTGTGGGTGCCCTAAGCTTATGCAAACACAGTTCACTGGGGGCAAGGATCACTCTCATCTCCAAGCCTCCCATGTTTCATGCACTTTCTAACTCTACCTGTGGCTCTGCCTCCCTGGGCTGGGGGCTGGGCAGGAGGGGGCTGGACTAGGAGGAAAATAAGAAAGGGCCAAGCAGGTTTTCTTGACTTTGCAAATCTCCCTCTGCTCGTGAGCTGAGGGGTGTTCACTGACCAGCTTGCTTTGATGGGCATTTTCATGACCAGAGCTGGAACACAAAGTCCAGACCTTTTGAGAAGCATGTGAGTATTGGAGATAATCTCGTTCATTCCCACCTCGGCTGCCTTTGCCAAGAGGTCCAGGGGGCCAGAGGACACAGGCTTTGGGGTGTCCTGATTCACATCACACACCCTTGCTGTTTGTCCTGGGGCTAGTTACCTCCCCTCTCTGTGCCTGGGATTCCCCTCCCCGTTAGTGTCAGGAGGACATCTCCCTACTTTGTGAAGCCTGAAGGAGATACAGTGCTAGAAAGAACTTGCTACCAGGGTGTCTGGTGCTAGAGGTGAGGAGAATTGTGGCAGGCTGGTGGGGGAGGGAAAGCCATGAGGAGGAGGCTCGGCTTAGGCGGAGAATAACAAGAAGTTCCTGCTCTTGGCCAAAGTTCCTCTCCGCTCTTTGGCTCTTCTCCAACTTTCTCTAGCTGCAGGGGTTCGTCCTGGCCTTGTTAGCACAGTCTCTGCTCATTTAAATCCCCAAGCCAGCCCTGAGCCCACACTGGGTGCTTAACCAGAATTGCCAAGAGGAAAAGAAGGCAGCCCCACCTCCTAGGGTTGGCTCCCAAGTGAGAGTGAGTGGGAGGCTGTAATCCACAAAAACTCCCTTAACATGTATTTGCACATGAATTCAACTGTAAATAGAAAAGCCAGTAATAGAATCAGAAGAAAACAGTGAACCTGTTTCAATGGGATTGTTGTTGTTAAGTGCCATTGAGTCAGTTCCCACTCATAGTGACCCTGTATAGGGTTTCTGAGGAGCAGCTGGTAAGCTTGAACCGCCAACCTTGCTGTTCAAACTGAACTTGCAGAACGAAAACAACAGTAAGAGCTCCAAATGCTCCCGCTTTTAAACCCAGTCCACTGCCGGCACAACAAAAACATTGATTTTAGTTGGGCTCTGCGTTCAAGAATGCCCCTGAAGCCAAAAGATAAATTGTTTCTCTTTTGGGTGGTTCAGTACACATTGGATTGAAGTTTCCAGACAAAAAGATGAACTCACCATAGGAAGAAAGTTACCATTTTATAAAATAGGACATCTGTTATAAACCAAGGAACTCTCAGCTCATTCCAGAGAATTTTTGGAATTCTCTTTGGCTTTGGGAAGAAGGAACTGGGATGTTGCTGACATTTTTGTGTACCTACTATGTGCTCAAGAAGCCCTAGTGGCACTGCAGGTTGAGTGCTGGATGGGGAACCTCAAGGTTGTAAGTTCAAACCCACCACCTGCTGCACCTGAGAAAGGTGAGGCTGTCTGCTCCCGTAAAGATATAGAGTTTCAGAAATCCTATATGGACAGTTCTGCTTTGTCCTATGGAGTCCTGGTGTGGCACTGTGGCTTAATGCGCTGGACTGCAAGGTTGGTTGGAACCACAAAGTTGGTTGAAAACCCTATACAGGATCTCTATGAATCAGAACCAACTCGATGGCACTTAACAACAACTCTGCTCTACAGGGTCAGACTCGGCTCCCAGCAGTGGGTTTGTTTAGGGTGTGTCTAGTACCTCCTGTGGTAACTAAACTTCCAGGGCTCCCAGTGATGTAGATGGGGTGACCGCCTCATTTCACATATGGGAACACTGAGGAACAGAGGTGAGTTTCTGCTCACTCCTACTCAGCCCAATTCAACAGGGCAGTAGAGATTTGGGGAGGAAGATATTAAAAAATTAAAGCCCAATGAAATTGGCACATAAGACTTACTCTGAGCAGTTATCCTAAAGGAATATTGGGAGGTTGTTTTAATTCCAGAAAACGCAGTTGGCTCAGAGAAGCTAGGTACAATGAGGCTTAGGTACAAAGCTAAGTCCAAAGAAAAAGAGGGTGGAGAAATACAGAACCACCATTGACTAATTCTATCATGATTACCTTGCCTGATAATCTAATTCCAAAAAGTTAGCCATGTTGTCATTGTTAAGTCTCATTGAGCCAGTTCCAACTCACAGGACCCTGTGTAGGGTTTTGGAGGAGCAGTTGGTGGATTTCTGAGGAGCAGCTGGTGGATTTGAACTGCTGACCTTGTGATTTGCAGTCTAGTGCTGATCCGACAGTGCCACACCAGAAGCCTGTTGATGTTCTGGGTAACTGAAGAAGAACTAGGGGCTTGCTGGGAGCTGGACCGACACTTGGGTCCCAGGGCAGCTCCGTAAATGGTCATGGCCCCTTCCCCTTTGTTTTCCATGCTGTGCTATTTCTGTGACTGGATTTGGCAGAAAGACTGAACCAGGAGTAGAGACAGTTCAGGAAAAGAGACCAGAGCCTGGCTAGACCCTCACTGTGCTCCTAGGAGGCACTGAAGGGGCCACGCTGCCTCAGTTCTGGGTGTCCCCCACCAGTAGATGGTGAAGGCATGGAGCAGCAGTGTCTGTGGGTAGGCCGTAAACCTTGGAGTTGATTCTACTCATGACAACACCCTGTGTGCCAGAGTAGAGCTGTGCTCCCCAGGGTTTTCAGTGGCTGAGTTTTCATAAGTAGACTCCACTCATGGTACCCCCATTGGTGTTAGAGTAGAGCTGTGCTCCCCAGGGTTTTCAGTGGCTCAGTTTTCATAAGTA